CGCTATGGATCTTGCCTTGGGTTGGAACAGGGGTCATGCAATTCCGATTCATCTTAAATTATTTAATAAATGCAAATATTTATTTCAATAAATTATCTATGAAATTTAATTATAAATCAATTTTTGCTGCCCTGCGAACGAAGACATACAGTTTACTCTAAATAACGTCGTGTGCTTTCAAGAAGCTGTCAGGCTGACAAGGCCATCATCGAAAATCCGGATGGTAGGACGCTGGTCGCCATCCATATTAATCTCAAAGAAAGCTCAACTGAATTTTATGCCATGATCTCTATGATGTAAGTAGTGAATGCGACTCACGGAGAAGATAGACAGAAGATGAGGATTAAATTGGCACAGTGACAAAAAACTTCGAACATTAAATTCTTTCGTGAAATGCACGGTAGCGACCAAAAAAATCACTGCGACACAATTTCATGTGGTGATTCTTCTGAACACATGAGGAATTTTCATTCACTGATTTACAAATACCTCGAATCACACTGAAATTTTGCGTTCAGAGTTTCTTCGCGTTTCACCAGCCACTCCCTGAAGGCCGGATGGAAGAAGATATAGCGTTGATCTTGTCGCATGACGACAAAATCCTGCAGACTGGACATCCTAAACAACAATGTGAGTCGATAAACGAGGAAAAGGAAGAAAATACCTTTGAAGAAAAGCGTCCCATGACATAAAGTTGCTGATTCGACCGGCGTTCAAAATTTCGTATATCTCCTTCGCGGTCAGGGGACACAACGACGCGAGCATAACGCTGAAGATCGGCATGACGTCGAGGAACGCGCGTTCGGTCGAGAAGCGCAGGTTCAGCATCAGCGTCAACACCTCAGACAGGTTGACGGGCAGCACGTTGTAGTTGGAGCCTTTGATAACCACATAATTCTGATCGACTAGGTTCAGCAACAGGCGTAGATAGAGGAAAGACGCCTTGGAAGAGTTAGAAAGATACTCGACGAAGCGGCTCAGCGGACACGAGGCATCGAGAGGTGGGAACAACTTCGATGACGTGACGTTGGACGCGGCGTTCGCTTGGATGTTGTCTGAGGCGCGGATGCGGAACTCGATGTAGCTGCGACAGTCGACGTACAAACGTTCCTCAAAAACTGGGCTGTCGAAGTTGATCTTGTGCAAAGGCAGACCCTTGAGGATGTCCAGATTGGACGCCTTGACCGACACGACCACTTTCAACCAGTTGGGTAGCAGTTCGACCGCCCGTTTGACCAAGAACGACGAGATCGAATCACCGGCACCGTCAACACGGTGAAACTCAGCTTCGTCCAGTGCGTCTACCAACAGCAAGAAATTTCGTTCGCACGATGACGACGAAGCTGACGAAGAGGAGACCGCTGAGGCGGAAGCCGAGGATGAGGACGGCGGTAGTGGTGGCGGCGACGGCAACTTGCTACAGCGCCGCAGGTAGTTCAACGGTTCGGTAAACAGCGCCTTAAATGTGCCCTCGGCGTCAAGCAGAAACTCGGTCACCGAGAAACGCTTCAACAACTGCTTGTTGGACGTCAGGTACTCGCGGTAGGCACTCATCTGTGGACTGTGAGCGACCATCGCACAGACGCTGTACAGGAATTCGGGCAGGAAGCACGACGAGCGGTCTTCGATTTGGCAAAAGTGGTAGCCGACCACCGACCGTGCCACGTCGTGACACCAACTGCCCCCAGGGATGGTGGCAGCGGCAGAAGCAGAGACAGCGGCAGCACTGGAACTGCTAGCACCAACGTTGCACTGGAGGTTGTGGCGCGACGAGGACGCGAAGCCCGAGTCAGTGCTGACATTCGTCTGCAGAGGACTATCACAGAAATTGGCGTACACGTGGGTGTCTTGTTGGTAAAACGGTGACAACGATGCCAGCTGCTGCAGCAAAGATGTCTTGCCGGTACCGGTAGCGCCGTAGATCACCGCACCCTTCATGCCGTTGTCGGTGGTCGGGCGCACCAGGATCTCCAACAGCTCATGGAAGACCCATTCACGGCCTACCAGCGACGTGTCAGCATCTACACAAGGTACCTCGAACGACATCGGCTTGACGTTCAACTGCGGAGAGGAACCGCCGCCGGCGACGGTACTTGCCGATGAGACCGCGTTCGACGAGGTTCCGTGCGTCTTAACGGAGAGATGCCTCGTGGAACGACGATAGAAATGGTTCCTGGCGCCGACCACACCGAAGCTGCAGTCGGTCAAGGAGCTGCGGGACGATGCACCGCTTGAAGGGCTTTTGCTGAAGCGTCGACGACGACCGCTGACGCCGCTCGAGATGCTACTCGAACTAATAAGGGTCAGCAGACTTTCCTGACTCAACCGACGCGACGACGGCGAATACTCCAATGGCATCGGCAGAAAATTCACATCATTCGAGGCTAAAAGCAACACCCAGGTGTAAGATCAATCGCAAAACGTTAAAAAATCAG